AACTGAGATGAAAAATTTACTTAAGCCAGAAATTTACTTTTACTACGGTAAAATAAATGTTCAGCGATATCTTCAAAATATTTTTTAATTTAGAGTTTTTTCTCTATATAGTGTTGATATGGCAACTAGTAAATACCATAAATTTTGTTATGCTGGCATGTGTGGAAATACTAACCCCGCGTTACTTTGTGCCCCCGCTCCCCTACTACAGGTTGTGAAACCACATCTTCAGAGGGCAACCAGAAGAAACTACACCTTAAGTCCAGCGGTGTAGTTGTTAGCTACACTGCATTATTATGCTGTTGGAAGTTTTATGGAGGTGGTGGGTGATGGCCTGGGGCTCAGCAAATCTTCAGTCAGCAAAACTGTGACAGCAGTAACACCTTTGCTGTTACAGCTTATGAAGAACATCCTGATTTCCCCCCAAACTCCTGAAGAAATCCAGCTGGCCAATCAACAGTTCTACAGTATTGACAACATCCCCAGAGTGATTGGCATCATCGATGGCACCCTTATCCCAGTGTCAAGCCCTGAGGTAATTGAGCCCTTGTACATTTGCAGGAAGGGCTATCCAGCCATTAATGTTCAAATAGTGTGTGATCACCAGGGGATGTTCACTGACATTGTGGCAAAATGGCCTGGAAGCACACATGACTCTTTTGTGTGGGCCAATTCTGCAGTTTGCCAGGTGGCTGAAGAGGGTGGCTTTGGTGATAGCTGGCTGCTGGGAGACAGTGGATATCCTCTTCGCCCATACCTCCTGACACCTGTGCAGCATCCAGCCACCATTGCAGAGGAGAGGTTTAATCAGGCCAATGGAAGGACACGCTCTATAGTGGAGAGGGCTATAGGACTGTGGAAACAACGTTTTCGCTGCATCAGCAAGTCCAGTGGTGGCCTGAAGCTGAACCCCTCCAAAAGCTGTTCTGTAATTGTGGTAACTGCAATTCTCCACAACATTGCAGTCAAGGAAAATGTCTCGCTTCTTGAGGAGGAAAAGAGGGGGGTCATGCTGGTGCTGATGGTGAGGAAGATGCTGCTTCTGATGATGATGATCCTTTGAACCCACGTCAAGGCAGAATGCATCATGCAGGCAGGAGCAGAGAGAACGTTTCATTCAGAATATGTTTGTTAGCAATATTTTACAGTTTGGATACCGTATTTTCTATTATTTGTTTAATCTGACATAACTTCTGTTAAATAATTTGTTTATTTGCCAATGTACCCCGCAGACTTAAATGAACACTTAAAAAAATTAAAAATACTT